TTTAGTACATGAAAATTAGGGTTTTTTTTTTGTTAGTACATGAAAATTAGGGTTAGTGGGAGGCAGATTTCTTTTAGTGAGAGGCGGATTATTAACTATGAGAGAGAAAAATTAGGTTGGGCCATGAGTGAAATCATTAAAAATTAATTTTGGCTGGGCTGCTGGGAAGAAAAAGGTCCCCATCACATTGGAAAAGGTGTTGTGAAGGGTCAATTTAGAAATTAAAAAAAGATTGTTTGATTTTTGAAATTTCAATAGGATTGTTCAAATATTTATCATTTTTATTTTAAGTTTATTATATATATATGTATTAAAATACTAATTAAAAATTAGAACTTAAATACACAAAATTTTAAATTTCTAATTCATGATGCCTGTTCTTCAATTGGGTTGCTTTCTAGAATAATTTTTCTCATTTCTTTATGTGTTCTTAGTCGGAGTACAGCTAGTCTAACGCGCATGAATTTTTATATATGTTCGATTCTTGCTGATGATTGTTATATGTGAATTGTTCCTAGCATGCCTGAAATCGTCAGGCATTTTTGGGAATGATTGAAGCAAGTAACTGCATTGTTTCGATTAGCTTTGTTATTTATGTCAGTGAAAGTATTGCCAGACAAATTTTAATGATTTATTTGCAGGCTTTTGCTAAAGCTCAAAAGACGAAAGCATACTTCAAACGCTACCAGGTCAAATACAAGAGAAGAAGAGGTATTTTCATTTTTTTGTACTCATGAATATACTTGAAAAGTTAATGGTCGGTTTCTGATAGTGCTTTCTCCTCTTGATAATATTCAGATGGAAAGACAGACTATCGGGCTAGGATTCGTCTCATTAATCAAGACAAGAACAAGTACAACACTCCTAAATACCGCTTTGTTATTAGATTTGTATCCTCATAACAGTTGGCTAAGTAGTGCCATTGATTTATTGTTTTATTTTACAGCTGTTTTTTCTACCGAACTTGCATGAGTGAATTGGATCTTGCTCACTCTTTTTCCCCACTTATTTTTTTAAATCAGGAATCTTTATGATTTCCTTCAATAATAGGAATTTTTATTTGGATGCACACTCGCAAGTCCCGTCACGACCCCAGATGCATTGTAGCGTTAGGTTTTATGGATCATCGGATCAATCCTCTTTTTATGATTTATTAAGATCACTTCAAGCCCTTGATTTTCCATGATTTATTTTTTGATGTTCTGTAAATATGTATCTTTACTTTTTTATGAGCATTTTTTGTTTTGAATAGTGAGATCTGTTTATGTTTGCTCGGGAAAGGAGACCTTAACGTTTATTTGTAGACTAATAAGGATATTACAGCACAAATAGTATCTTCTAGCATTGCTGGTGATATGGTTCTTGCTGCAGCTTATTCTCACGAGTTACCTCATTATGGTCTTGAAGTTGGTCTAACAAATTATGCGGCAGGTACTTCTTTTCAAGTGTAAGTCTGTTGGGGCCGGGTCTTTTTGATCTGTTATTAACTTTTTATCCCTATCTGAATACTGTTTAGCTTACTGTACTGGACTTCTCTTGGCTCGCCGTGTCTTGAAGAGCCTTGAGATGGACAAAGAGTATGAGGGTAATCTCGAGGTACTCTATCTACCCTCTCTTGACCTTATCTAAAACCAAAACCAAATAAATTAAACAAAATGAAGTAATAATATACCTTGTCTGTTATGGCTCAACTGTTCCATCATTATTTGTGTCCACTTAAAGCATTTGTATCATGTATCATTAGGTTACCGGAGAGGATTTCTCTGTGGAACCCACAGATAACCGAAGGCCCTTCAGAGCTCTCCTTGATGTTGGTCTAGTCCGAACAACAACGGGAAACCGTGTTTTTGGTGCCCTCAAGGTATTTAGTTAGTCCATGTTAGATGAGCTACAATATCCATCTCTTTTTCTTGTTTATAATATTTCATTATTTGTGCTTCTAGATTTACATGGTTTGATGAATGTCACACGAGTAGCTTTATTTATTTTCTAAACCGTGATTGGATACAAAATGATTAAACCATTATCCTTTAACCAACTATATAATATTTGACATATGTAAAATATGTGTACCCACACACACACACACAATATATATATATATATATATATATATATATATATATTGTTCTTTCTGACATCTGTTCCACGTTGGATCTTCTAAGTTCGTTATAACTTAGTGGCTTATTACAACTATGGTGAGGAGTTTGTAAGTTCACTGCATTTTTGAATGATTACAAATTGACCACATCAGGACAGCTTGAGTTTCTCTTTGTATCTTTCTCAAACCATTGTATTTTTAGAGACTGAATCTATATGTATTTTCATGACACAGGGAGCTTTGGATGGTGGATTGGATGTTCCACACAGTGTCAAGAGGTTTGCTGGTTTTTCAAAGGATAACAAGGAGCTCGATGCTGAGGTTCACCGGAAATACATATTTGGCGGCCACGTTGCTGCCTACATGAGGGTAAACTTTCAGAAGTTAATATCAGTGAATAGTTGACTTAGAAATCAGAATAGTCATAAAAAATCATGTTCACCCCGAGTTTTTTAATCCACAGTCCTTGATGGAGGATGAGCCAGAGAAGTATCAATCTCACTTCAGCGACTAYATCAAAAAGGGAATCGAGCCTGACAACATTGAAGAGTTGTTGAAGAAAGTTCACGCTGCTATCCGTTCAGAACCGTTGGTGAAGAAAACTGAGAAGCAACCACCAAAGGAGCACAAGAGGTAAAAGGCGAAACTCTATTCGTTATTCATGATTAAACTTGTTTTTTAGTTTTCAGCTTTGATACCTGCTGTTTATTGTTCGGTGATTATTTGATGAATCTTAAGGAGTTACTGTTGTCTGATAGGTTTAACTTGAAGAAGCTCACGTATGAAGAAAGGAAGGCCAAGTTGGTTGAGCGTTTGAATGCCTTGAATTCTGCTGCTGGAGCTGACGACGACGACGASGACGATGAGTGATTCGACTCAATCGATGCCTGTTTATTTCAACCAATTCCATTATTATAAACGATTTAGTTTAATTGAGAAGATCCATTTTGCAGGCTTTTAAGCGTTTCTGTCATATGTTCTAGTTTTAGTTGGCAAAGTTCAATTATGAGATTCTGGGTATGAAGATGTTAACTTGGTTTTTCAGTTTTGCCAATTGCATCTTTTGTTTTCTTATATTTTGTTGTTCATTGGATCGATTATGTGATGGTTGATATGCTGACCCAATCACAGGAATTTTCTTTTGATAATTTTGAATTATTTGTGAGCCTGGTGATTTTATATTTTCATCATCTCAATATACTTGTTCCTTTTTCTCCTCTAATTTATTTTTTACCTCTTTTAAAAATGAATATTTGCATTTGCATATGCATAAGAATTTGGGTTCGGAGAAACATACATTCTTATATATAATAAGGAAAGCAAACACACTTTGAACTTTTACTTTTCTACTTCATTGATAATAATAATATTATAAATTCAAATGGAGCTATTCTTGTTTATCAACCCCCATACTTGTTACCGTCAGAATTTTAGGCCTAAAATTATATATAACATTCAAAACTTAACCAAACCGTCCCTTCCAATTTTGATCCTCAGTAATAATAATAATAATTATTATTATTTTGTCTTGAACTTGTTTTTATCCCATAAAGGTTAAAAATATTAATTTTAGTTCTTCAATAATAATATGTAGGGAAGTAGAAGGGAAGTAAAAAAAAGCCTAGAATTCTCTCTCACGACTAAAGTTCTGACTTCCGAAAGTTTAACACTTAAAACAAGTAACAAATACAAGTAAAATTTGAGGCATCAATAATTTCTGATTCAATGTAATTGATTGAAATGAGAAGCAATAATCCGAAGTAAAAATTCAGTGAAATGATTAGTGGAAATGCAGAGAAATCTGTAGTTGAGTGTAATCTTGAAGTGACAAGCAATAATCAGAAGATCTGAGGCAGCGAGCAAACACCACATAAATTCAAGAACAAGATTTCGTCTCGCCCCACCAATGGAAAAACGAGAGGCAACGAGGAACAGATGAAGATGAAGTTTCAAGGTAACGATTCTAATAAGCCACACGATTCTATTCGTTCTATCTACTTTCCTTTTCAACTTCCTTTACCAATCTCATCCAATATCCAAATTTATCTTTCAGAATCTCCATGTAAGTTCAGCTCACTCTCCCACTTCTCCCTTTTCAATTATTTTTGCAGCTTCGTCGCGTTTCCCACTACCTCAGGGCGAAATAAAAATGATCTTATACCATTTGCTTCTTAATATCTAATTGTTCCATGGATCGGCAATGTTTGGCTTAGTTTTGATCTCAATCCGTGTGTTCTTGTTATAATTTCGAGGTTTTTTGTTCTTACTCGGTGAATGGTTTTGACTTTCGGAGTTTCTGTGTTCTCTCTCTTCTAATCTGAGCTTTCTTCTCATTTATAGCAGGATGAGAGGCTTTTGAAGCTTTTCCCATCATTCTTATCATTTGTTGGATTTGATTCAAAATGTTGTCGGTTTGCTCGGCGTCTCCCAGCTGTTCTTCTCAATCTAAGGTGGGAACTTGTTCCAAACTTCTGCTTTTAAACTACTTTTTATCAATCATTCAGCATCCGTACAAAAATGCTATACAGATTTCAAAACTGATGATTAGTAATCTGCTGGAGAATAAATCAATGAGCATTTAGTTGATGGCACCTTCTTAATTTGGAGTTGTGTTAATCAAACCGATGAATTTTTACTCGGAGGTTTCTGGGCATTAAAGACCTGTTTAATGTCTGGGTGCGTCAATCCTTGAACTGTATGAAGTAACCAAATGTTTCTAACTTGGAAGAATAAACCTGCAGTTTACTTTCCACGGTGGCCGGAGACTCTTACTTCCATACCAAAAGGATATTCATGTTGGCAGCCATGCTACAGAAGAAGGGAGCTTCATGGGCTTGCTTCGTGGAACTCGTTTCCATGGAGGTTTTCCTASAACTTATGCCACAAGACCTTCTTTCTCTAATTTGACTGCAAGCGCTAAACAGCCATTATTCATGGGTAAAAATAGTTATTGGTTTCAAAATGCATCAATAATCTAAATTGCTGGTTGTACAGTTGTGACAATAAACGAAGAACACCATTCTGACAGGTGGAGTGAAATATGTAGAGAATTCCAGTTTATCTGAAGGAGGAGAGACACTCCTTAATGTTTCTGGACAACCTGCTGAAATTACATCAGTTCAAGTTGTACCTGTAGAGAATGAAACCGTTTTAACTGACAACATTGCATCCAATAAAATCCTCTCTGTCTCTGACTCCTTAAATGTGGCTAATAATTCAGTATCGAGCATCAAAGCAAGTGCAGAGGATTTTTTTGATCGTGTCAGTGAGTCCTTCAATGCTTCTATACAAAAAGGAGAAAACACTATCGAGAAATCATTGGATACAATTAATTCATCCATATCAACCGTGGTTAAACAGGCCAATCAAACTGTAGATGATGCCTTCAATGGTATATTTTCGTCTGCTGATCAGGTTGGGGAACAAGGTCGTAATAAACTGACCAACTTTTCAACTGGATTTAAGGAAAGCTCGATTAAGGCTTCTGGTTTTGCAATTGACTTACTAAGACATGCAGTTGTTGCAATTGAGGATTCTCTGATAAATTCAACTTCATTTGTTGTCTACACCTATGGATCAGTCAAGGAACTCTTTCCTCCTGAGATCAGGAATGCTCTAAGTTCGTCCGAGCAAAGAGCAGCTGAAATCTTGAGCCCTGTCAAAACTGGTTTTCAACAGGTATTAATTAAAAAGTTAAGATGTTTGTTTAAATGATATATTAAGTTATTAACTTATCATTAGCATCCCAATTGTGATGATTTTTTTGAAAAACAGGCTTACCTAACTGTTGAGAGTTTGGAGAAAACCCTTGGCTTAGATCCAAGTGATCCCCTTGTTCCATTTTTGCTCCTCCTTGGAACCTCCGTCACTCTGTGGTATGGTTATTCTTTAAGCTTGAGCATATCTTCATTATGATGTAGTATGTAGAACATAGAATCCATTGCTTTGAGGTTTAAAATTTTAATCAGATTTGTGCAGGGTTTTCTATTGGACATGGACATATAGTGGTTATTCTGGAGATTTATCCCCTCAATCAACCTTTGAGCTCCTGAAAGGATCAGAAAATGCTGTTCTTATTGATGTCCGGCCTGAGGCAAGAGACTGTAAAATTTCACGGCCTTTGTATTCACAGGATTGAGCATGTTTAAAGTCCTTATTTCTCAACAAAATAACTGTTCTATTGAATGTTTCATTCGAACCCCTACTCTTCCAAAGTTCCATGAAATATGTCATATAAAGTTRTTGAAACGTCATCATGTCCTGGATCAAAGAAAAAAAGGAGGAATAGGAAAGAAAGAAAAAAGTAACTTCTTCCTTTAAAATCAACTATCTTGGCTACTGTTCTGAATTCTAATATTTTTCCTGACTTGTCCAATATGCAATATGGCATCAATGAAATATGGACTTCCCCATCATGAAAAATTTTAATAGAAAGTTTCAAAAAATTTTAATTTGTTCTTTTTCCCTTCTCTTTCTAAAGGATTTGAGAGAAAAAGATGGCATTCCAGATCTAAGACGCCGAGCACGAGCTCGTTATGCAAGTGTAACCCTACCAGAGGTTGGTTCATATGCATCTTTTTAATTTGGAAATTTTGTATTCAGATAAATTAAATGCTCTTAGTGGCAGAAAAAACAAGCACTGTATTCTACTCTATGCTTCTTTTTAAAGTTTAATTTTTGTACTTAATTTTCAGGTTGATGGCTCTATAAGGAAGTTAGTGACGAGTGGAAGAGACCTTGATGACACTTTACTTGCATCTGTCATCCGGAACTTAAAGATTGTTCAGGTAGTTGGTTTTTCCTCTTCTTAAGTGGCTTGGACGCTTGGCCTATTTTCTAAAGTTTGACAGTGAAAGAAGTTACGACATGGAACTCAAAAAACTAATTTCCTACTGTTTTTATGTTTGAAACTGCAGAAAGGATTTTGATACTTTTATTTCCTTAGTTTCTTCATTTGTTGTTAGTAGTTGCCTGCTGCCAACTTTAGTATAGCTCAACTGATTGAGATATATTTCTCCGACTAAAAAGTTGTGGGTTCGAATCTCTATCCCACGTGTTGCTGTTGCTGTCTTAAAAAAAAAAAAGAGTAGTTGCCTTCTGTAGATAATTTTCTTACCTTTTATTTTCTTTACTAATTAATCTGAAATATACATGCCAATGACCAAGTTGCATGAAATAAATGTTCCAATTTCTGCAGTTGCCATTATGACCTATTCTATTTCGAAAGATGTCACTTTGGCAACTTGTGTGTGTCTGTATTAATGTATTGTTTGATATTAAATCTGCACTTTCTCGTGATATCCATTTCCTAGAAAATAGGATTTGGTTTGATTAATGATGTGATTATTGGCTTGTGCTCTCTGTAGGACAGGTCCAAGGTCATTGTCATGGATACCAATGGYACAGGTTCTAAAAATATTGCTAGATCATTGAGGAAACTCGGGGTTAAGGCAAGTATTCTGTAATCCGAAAATTCTTTTACATGAACGTACAAACAACAAATGGAGAGGCAATCCTAATATTTTTCCTAATATCTGTTGAATTGCCTACCAATAACTTAATATTAAAATATTATTATTATTATTTCAAGTAATTTTTGGAAATAATTCTTACAAATCATGTAATTGAATGTTCTTACATTCAAGATTGCTCAAGATTAAATACCTTTTGGATATTCTTGACAGAAACCATACTTGATCCAAGGTGGATTTCAGTCTTGGGTGAAACAAGGCCTCCGCATCAAGGAGCTCAAATCTGAAACCGCGCTTAGCATACTTAATGAGGTATCTAATGTTTTTTATACTTATCCAAAATTATGAAAATATCTCAAAGAGATATCTAGTTCCTATGTTTTTGTGACTTCCGAGTCAAACTGCAATTATTTCAGGAAGCTGAGGCAATCCTGGAGGAAATAAGTCCATCTCCTGTGCAAGTTCTCAGTTATAGTTTGGTAAGATTAAATTTACTTACAAAATATTTCAGTAAGAGATCGATGACCATTTGATTAATTTTTATACATGACTTTTGCTCCGATAGTTATCTCCATCTCAAGTAAAGCATTACAATCAGAGGGATGGACTAAGCATTTCATTATCCCCCATGTTTGGTAGTGCTTTTGACCAGCGTAAAAGTATTTTTAAGTGGTGAATAAGTACTTCTGCATTTATTTATGTTGGTTTACAATTGAAAGTATGTTTGAAAGATGTTAAAAGCATTTAGTAGAGCTTTCCCAAAAAAAATCATTGATAACTGCTTTATCAGTTTCTTTTGGTTCAATTGCTTTATTATTAATCCCTCTCAACATACACATTTTATCCCATTATTTTCTTTTTATATACACTTCTTTCTTACTAGTCTCTCTACATACTTTCTCTCACTATCTTCTTTCTACACACATTCTGTTGCTAATCTTTCTTTGTAGCTTATTACACATACTGACATACTAATCTTTACATACACATTTTCTCTTTCTTTTCGTACTTTCTCTCACTTTGCCATATTGTTTGCAATTTAAATGTCTTTCCTTTAGTAATTTTCCAATTCTAATCAAACTTTTCCAGTAAAAATCATTTGAAAAGTAATTCTAAGAATACATTTTCCGACTCTACTTACTTTCCCTCAGTGTCCTAGTCCTGCCATATTAATGCTCGTTTGGTAGATATCAGGTTCATATTGCTTGATAAAATATTTATTTCACATTTCTGTAAAAGTTCTTCCCTTTTTATTTAATTATTTTTTTGGTTGGGGGCTCGCTCTGATGTTCATCTTTCTCCAAACTTGGTTCTTCTTTATGTGCAGGGTCTCGCTGCAACTTTGTATGCTTTACTAGGTAACGCAAGTCTCATTTACAATGTACTGTGTTAATAAAATCTTTTAGTTCTGTTTAATTCAGCAGAACCTTAATACTCATCTTTCTACATGTGTTAATGCACTTTTTTGCTTAATCTCAAGTGAGGTGGATGTCTTTAATTAATCCTTGATTTTTTTAGTACTATAAGCCTTATCATGATTTTGAGATTATGGCCAGTTTCTACCTAGGAATTAAAAAATGTCCGGAAATCTTGGTGTGTATCCGTAGTCCTTGTCCAACATCATAATTCATACAATAACTTCTGTGTAATTGTGTGGTGTAATAAAACCATGTTTATAATTTATATTTATGATATTTGGAAAATAGAATTAGCAGATCATTTTTTAGATGATTTTTTCTTATATGAAACAGAAAAAACCATTATTATCAAATTCAAACAATTCAACCTGATATCATTTGAAAATAATTTCATTTTTAGTGGTCATCATGAAAACAAATCCAAGCTTGTGGGTATCATTTGAAAATATTAAATACTGGAATGTCTCTACTATTTCTATTTGGAAACAAAAGATCCATAAAAAAGGGCTAGATTTTGCTAGATAGAGATGCACCTCTGATTGAATTAGGTTCTTTAATCTTTTACTGACAAGTACGATTCATTGTCTGTCAGAATGGGAGACTTCGCTTCAAATAATTGGCATTATTGGCCTTGGTCAGGTACTTCTTGTGTTCTGCAAGTTGAACTAATCAAAACCCATAGATCTAATTTTCATATTTACAAGTAGAAATAGTTACGCTGTCTACACTTTGGAAATACTATTACTCTACTGTTAAATTGATATCGTTTGGTAACCCGACCAGACAATTTATCGGCGGGTCACATCTTATGAAGATGCTGAAGATTTAAAGAAAGATGTGAGGTGTGAAGTTCAACTAACCCAGTACCAGTTCTATTTGATCATCTAACTAGAGTATTAAAAAAAAGTCTAAATATTCCATCTCGTGGTTCTTTTTAGGCTGTTGTTTACTCCGGTCAGTCTTGGAGCTCAGGCATTATCGTGGGCTGCCGAGAAATTGGAGACGAATGGCGTTGGATTACCGACATCTCCTTCCTCCTTGGATGTTCAAAACAGGGTGTTGCAGGCTGCTGCAAAGCACGAATCTCAGCCCTCGGTCGATGAAGGCGTCCAAAACAGATCGCCGGAAGCAACAATCCCAGTCAGTGAGAGTGTAGACCTTTCTGAGGCATAGGACACGACAAGATTTTCTGGCAGTCAATAATGGTTTATGATGAAAGCTCCTTGTTCTGAACTTGATTGCTGATCCAAGTAGTCTTAAAAAGTGTAGCAAGATGAAATGAATGGCTTGGATAAGCTGCTCAAGAAATATAGTGAGCTACTAATGAATTTGCCTTTTCTTCTCTCTCTCTTCAGAAAAGATGTAGAGTTCTTTGCACATACTAATTCAATATTGCTAAATCTACTGTTTTCTCTTGCGTTTTGCATATTATGATTCTTAGTCAATGATAAAATATGGCATTATTGGTGGCAACTTGTAAGTTAATGGCATTTGATCACATGATTACATTAAAGTTTGGAAAGCAGAGCCGATTTTAATTTGTTAAGCTAAAAATTTACGTTTTTTTTTTTTTTTTTTTGATGAAATACAAGGTCAAATTTTAGAATCCCTACCTATAATCCTTAAAAAGGGAAAGTAAATGTGGTTCAAAAAACTCAATTTAGGAGTCAAACTTCACTAACAATCTCTGTTGAAGATCGAAGTTTCAAATTTTCACTCTCAACAATGTTTGATTAACAGTGTGAATTGGGTTGAGTTATAACTTAGAAGTTTGTTCGAGTTGGATTTGGGTGAATCACAACATATTTGAGTTGGGTTGGATTCAACAAACATGTCTAAGTTATTGGGCCCGAAAGCCCAATAATGGATAGCGTTGTGGAATAGCAAGGGCCCATTTGTAATTCCCAATATGCTGCGATTAGGGTTTCCGAGTCTATAAAAGCCGCCCCCGATGCCCTATTACTGCAGAATCGTCTCTCAGTCCTCATTTTTAGGGTTCCTTCGTCTTCGTTAATGCCGACGCTTCTTTTAGGGTTTTTGTAGAGTTTCAGCTTACTCTCTCTCTGTCTCTCTCTGCTTTTGTTAGAGCCTTTGAAATTTCAAATTGAAGAAGAAATTGGAGGAAAGCCAATTTGCAGAGCAAGGGCGTCTGTTATAATAATGGCGTGAATTGCATTGAAGGTTGGCAATACTGATGATAGCGGTTCTCCGTGCCTGTCAAATCATCTTTAGTTTTGATCATGGCCTCGAACAAGTCGCTACACTCATTCCATCTTTTAGACCTCCTCTTTCTGATCTATTTCTTTTGATTAAATCATTTCGGATCAAAGTAGGCATACAATATATAGCCCTAAAGTATCCATGACTTTCTGTTTCGTTTATGCAAGAGTTTATTTTTACACTCATTCCCCATTTGAATTAAATTCTTGAAACTGAAGTTGGATTTTGGTTCGAATGTGTTGAATCCAATCCTCATCCGCAGACTTCAAACCTTTTTCATTTCCTTCACAAATCTGAAATGTTTTTGTTTTCCGAACGACGATAATTGTTTTTTAGTCTTTCTGCAATGGCTTTTTCATCTTGTCCTATGGTTCTGTTAGGGTTCTCTCATGTATGTTCATCGTTTAGGGTAGAGGTTTAGAGTATGGCCAGTAATCTTCCTTTTAATCGCGAATTATAATATATGAATCGGGAATTACTTGGTGTATTGCATCTATTAATTGGTTGAATCTACGCTCGGAATCGATTATCGKTATTCCAACGAATATGCCTTCCTTGAGTATAAAATAAAAAATGTTTTGTTGAAATTTTCCGAATAATTGTTTGGGACAAGTCGGCTTGGTCCATTATAAAAGTAATTGAATTTGATCRAATCTGCCATGAATGTCTTATAATCAATRATTAAAATATCGACGTCTATAATGGGATTTTTAAATATTCCTGTAGAACAGATTTAGGTATTAACAATTTTTGCTGTTTGTYCAATTTTGTTACTGTACTTTAAAGCATGACTATTTTTATTTGTAAAATTTTAATTCAAATTCTATTTAGAATGTTTTTAAATTTCATTTATAATATATTTTAAGAGAGTGAAGTATCAGATTAAAATTGTGAAAAATAAATGATAATAAAAAAGTATTAAGGATTATCTTCATGTGTTAATTCTTGGAAGAATTACATGGACTAGGATAGGACTAGGATAGTATTGAAAACTAAGAGTAAATTTATTTGATGAAGATATTTTTTTTCAAAAAGTTAGAGATCTTAATATTTATATTTGGATTTTTTAATTGAAAGATGATATTTGTTTTATATATTTAAAGCTGGATATTTAAATTTGTGAACAGAGTTTGTTTTATTTGTAAAAAATATAGTTTTTAATACAATTGGCAAAAAATGGAATGGTAAAAGGTAGGATAGAGTAAGAGTTCTTACCATGTTAATTTAAATTATTTTTACTGATTGGATTTGGTGGCTGATGAATATTGTGGGGGAAAGAAGAATAAGAAATATTCCAAAATATATATATATATTATATTACAAGGATCATCTTTTGAGAGTTAATATTAAACCCTAAATAAAATGATCATTGAGAGGGAAGGAGGAAATAAGAGATTAATAGTAAAGGAGTTGTTGCTTGGGGTCCAAAATGTAGCTCAATTCCTACCTACTCCCTTGTATTCCACACCTAAATATTAATTGATGTTAAAATTATTACCTTAAGAAAATAATTGAAATAAATATAGATGTACAGGAAGTAAAATGTTTAAAATAATATTGAAATTTAAAGCAAATTTTGAAATAATCGTTTAGCTTGTTAGGTGTTGGAATTTCAACAGTTTATGGGAATCTCACCCATTATTTGAAATATTGATGTTGATCAAAATGTCAGGATGTTCCTTTTTAGTGGGGAGGAATAGAAATATAAGAGTGAAGAAAAGGTTAATTCAAACAAAAAAGAAGAGTGAAGAAAAGAATTCAAATTTGAATTATAAAAAAAAATAAAATTTGAGGGACAAAGTTTGTCCAATCCTACATTGACTGGGAACGTAAATTTTTTATATATAATTTTTGATATTTTGTTGTGTCATGAGGGAAAAAAAATCAACATCAAATACTTCACTACATATTTCAAAAGTTAAAAATAATAATAATAGAAATTTACTAAGAGATTATGAGTTCGAACCCCCCACCCACACATGTTGTATAATAATTAAAGTTTACCAATAGTTAGAGTCGATTGATTTATCATTCTTTTTTCTTTTTGTTCGTACTTCCCATGTATCACAGGTGGCAATAAGTTCTTTAATATAAATTTGTGGGTAAGGAAATTATGAAAAGAAGTGAAGGACGAAAATTGCGGAAAATTTCAAAAGTAGACGGAGAATAGTATTTAAACCTCCAATGCGATCTTATACGTGGACAGTGCGAGAGAGAATAAAGAACATAGCTTTTTCTAATATTGGGAGAATGCGATGTACAGAATGATGCTCTTTTTCTAGGTTACACCGTAGCTGTGACTGTGAACTCAAGGGAGAGTGGAGAAAACAAGGGAGAATTTTTATGATCAAAATTGTAGATTGTTTTGTTACACTCGGAAACAGATTTTACAGTAGGAGAGTGGAAAATAAATGACTCAAAAAAAGTAAAACCACAAACAGAAAGAACACTGACTTGAACTTCCTACCTCTATTTCTAATTGACCAAAGCACAATCATATATCTACAGTCCACACACACATTTCTTCTTCTTTTTTCTTTTTTGAGTGAGGGAGGGAGAGGGGTTGTTCAAAATAGAGCAAAGAAAATGATACTAAGATTGGTTCTTAAACAGATTAAAACTACACACCCAAATGATGATTTCTGCTCTTTTTCCTATTAAAACCTCTGAGATTCTGAGATTCTTCCATGCACTTCTTCTTCTGCCTTTCAACCCTACTACAGCTTAACCTCCCGATTGAAGATCCAGCTGAACGGAATGGTAGCGGCTTCTTTCGCCCGCCCTTGAGCTCTTTCTTCCAGCCTTCTAATCCTTGCAGGCAACCCACACACATAATCCTGAGCCTTCTGCCCCTCAGCTGAGAGTCCTGTTAGCTTTTCCACCTTCCATCTCCCAACTAAAAACTCCAATATGTCTGCATAGTCCTTGGCTGTGTAGACCCCCAGTCGCTGTGCAACAGCCGAGAAGTGATCGAACAGGTTGTCGTCACGCCCGTCGTACATCAGATGGGCTGGCATTGAGACTTTCTTCCTCATCATGTCTTCAAAGGCTATGACAGTTCCTTCAGGGTCTATCTCAAAGAGCTTTTCGACAATTTTTGTATAAGCAGTCTCGTGTCGCTTCTCATCGGCTGCAATTGTTCCACATATTTGAGCCAACTTTATGTCTCCATGCTGTTTTGCTTGTCTGGCAGTGTTCCCATGGGAGATGAAGGTTGCCCTTTCTTGAAATGAGGTATAGATGAATCCTAGGTAGGGATTGTTTTCAGTCCTTGGATCCTACAAACACATTCCATAGAAATCAAAAAGAAGAATTTGAAGAACTTATAAGGATCAAAGAAAAAATTGAAGGGCCGATCAGTTTGTAAACAATCAGGACACCTCCAATACCAACTTATTTCACAATATAACCTAGTTGCATGTAAAAACTGTAGCTTATATATGGGCAAGCTTTATATCCACGAACGAAAGGAGAATGATACCCAAAAAACAAATCTTTATGAAGTATATACTTGACCCAGAAAACAAGATAAACTGGATTTTCAGATAGAAACTGATGCAATACTCCAAAATGCTGCCGAAATTGCAAAGAATGCACAAGGGGATCGCATGTGTAGCTTTATGTACATACTGTACTCTTATAGTTCATGAGTTTCAAGTTAAAAAGTACCGTCAAAGTAATGCTATGAGGAAAAGGAAAATTCGATAGGTTGAGATGGATCTCACCATTCCTGATCCAATCAAATACTGAATTGTTTTCTCAATCTGCCTCATGTCCACTCGCCCAGATAGGTAAAGGTATTTATTTAGTAGGTCCCCATGCCTGTTCTCTTCAGCAGTCCAAGCCCTTGTCCAAATCGCCCAAGAAGTGAGGCTTGCTCCTGTTTCGTCCCTGACTCCATCTAAGGTATTCAGCATTGTCTGATAAGTAGGAAGGGCCTCTTCTGTAATCATGTCTCCCACTAAAACGACAAAGTAATCATCCGGGATTTCCTTTGCCCTCTCTCTAAGCTCCATGACTTGCTCGTGAAATCCATCGGATGCCGGATCTGGCAAAAAGTCCTGTGGTTGCCAACACCTCTCCACTGGCTTCAAATGAACCAAAATGTTCTCTTCAGCCCAATTCTCCATAGATTTAAACATCTCTATCTTCTGGGGCGGCATTGAGTGAGTTACTTGAAGATGCACTTCCCTAGGAGGCATAAAAGGTTTCTTAAGGGTCTCAACCTCCCTGGTATATTGAGGAAACACAAAGAATCAAAATAGTCAATGAGTTAAATTGTTGTCACTGCACGTGCAGATCATATAGTTTAGAGTAGCATTCTGGAACTCCTACACAATTGAGTTAAAACATTTCCTTCAAGCAAATGAGATTTGTTTCACAATTGTAAGTGTTGTGACAAAGGGAATTGTTTACAAAAGACCTGCTGGATCGACGACAGGGCAGAACAGAACTGCACAACAAAATGGTCATACCATACGTCGCCAAGACATCTTAAGTATATGTTTCCCATATGTCAATTTTCATTACAGAACATATATGATACAAACCAGGTGACTAAATTTTAAATCCATTGAGTACTTCCAAAGAATACACATTCTTTCAAGCAACCACGGCAGGTAAAAAAACTGGATTAAATTCAAGAGTTACAATCAGAAAAACTTGGCCTCTTTAAGGTTTTTAAACATATGAGCAGGAGAAGTTCATAATGAGGAATGAATGAGCAGCGGAGGACCAAAATGTGGAATAATTGAGCAAGGACATCAAGAGCCCATGGTGGTGCCACATAATAAAGGAAGCTATCAAGTTAAGACCCAAAAATTCCAAGGACAGACCTGCACCAAGAAGCCTCCAAAACAAGACAGAACATTCAAAACAAGACAGAGCATTGAACACCACACTGCCAAATAAACCAGAGAATACCAAATGGACGATCATGCAACCACACAGGCCCACAAAAAAAAAAAAAGAAAATTGAACATCTATTTTCATTCTCAAGAATTACAATAGAATAAGGATGAAAGCTGTTCCTACCAGCAAGCCATAACCATTCACTCAAGATGATATACTGAAAAATGTCCATATCCACCGCCATACACGAGCACTTTTCACATGAATAAAAGAGATCAAACGCATTCGCCAAAAGTACAACGATATGAAGAAAATCTATGAAATTCCAATGGAACTACAACAATTATCTTAAAATCAAATACAAACCGCATACACAACATATAATGCGCATAGAAACACAAAAGAGACCAGCGCATTAGTACAAAAAAAAGAAAAAACGAAAAACCAAAACGCGCCAACTATGTAATTAAATGACAATCCTCGGATGAAAAAAAAAGAACTAGAGGCTGAGAAAAAAGGGAAAAAGCATCGTTAACAAACCAAATCGAATCGAATTCTTCTGAGATGAACGGAGAGAGCGATGTGGTAAATAAGGAAAAACGAGCGAATGGAAGGCGAAACAATGCAAAAGCAGTAAACAGCAGAGAAGCGAAAGATTCAGGAAGATCTGGAAAGCATTGAAAGAAGAACAAGGGGACATAAAACGAGGTACCTGGAGGTGGAGCGGAGAGTGGAGGCCATAAGGAACTTGGGAGATCTGAGACTGGCAAGCTGCGGCAGCGCAAAGGAAGGGAGCTTGGGGGATTGAGAGGTGAGAGGATGGAATTTGAGCGCCATTTTTTCCGAGCGGTTTGGTATCAATCTTCGTTATTCCGATGAGTTGGCCGGAAAACGGTTATCGGACGGCCGCTTCGGTTCCTCCACAGAAGAAGAGAAAAAATGGTCGCCCTTGGAAATGCCACTTTACGTATGTGAATGTGATGCTAAGACTGGCCGGCAATGCTCCACTTTCAACCTCAATTCCTCTCTCTCTCTCTCTCTCTCTCTCTCTCTCTCTCTCTCTCTCTCCAATTCCTCTCTCTCTCTAAAAATGGGCTTTTTTTCCCCTTTTTCTTCTTCTTTTTTTTTGGTGGAACAAAGCTTTTGGACAGCGGCAAGGCCCAGCTTTTTCTGCCCTGTAAAGAATTTTTGAATCTAAGCTCCTATTTATACAAAAAAAAAAGCACTTTATAAAAAAAAATAAAAAATAACAATACCAACTTCTAAAAGAAAACATGTTTTTCGGAAATGCCGAGCTCTCAATTTCATGAAAATATCGATGGAAATATTGACGCCGTAAAAGTTAGAAAAATTTTAAAAATCGTAAAAAATATTTAAATTAACAAATAAACGTTTTCCTATTTCTAAATTAGTTAAAAATAATTAATATTAATATTATGTATATATTAGTGACATTTTGTTGATATTTTCGTATTTTGTCGATTTTTTTGTACTATAATGTAAATGYCGATTTATCTTTCATGTCGATGTCAAACCTATGAAAACATAGATATGTCAATGGAAATGTCGACGTATCGACAGATATGTAGAACCATATCAGTAACAATCACAATATTCAAAGTGAACATAAACTTTGGGGTTATTTTAAAAAAATTATATCCACTTAGGTAAATATGGATATGGGAGGGGAGGGTTAAAAAATTAATATATGCCCAGCATTCTTGTCCATCAGAAGACTATGTTTAGATTCACGATAGAATCACAATTTAAAGTTTAAATATTTAAATTTTTTAAAAAAATTTAGGGACTACGTACAATCCTTAAAATTCAAATATTAAAAGCTCATTTGGTAACGTTTCTGTTTTTTGTGTATGTTTCTTCATTTTCAATAAAGAAAAATGAATTGCGTGGCATAAACATCTATGAATTCAAGTATGATAAAACGATCTTTTTATTTATGTTTTGAAATAAATTAGAAATGGAGCAAAAAAAAAAATCTTCTTTTGATTGTTTCTGTCTATACAATTTTGAAAAAAAAAGAAACAATAAATATAGTTAGTTGCAAAATACTTAAATTTCTTAAGAAATTAGAAACGGAAAACAAACAAGGAGAATGTTACCAAACGGACCTAAATTAATTTAACATGAATGTCAAATTTTAATGTTACCATTTACCTTAGTTAAAATTAATATTTATTTATTGTAAACTTTTTAAAATTTTAATGCACGTAATCAATTTGGAAAGGTTTTAATAGGCGTTGAATGTATATAATATATGATACTTGTTTAAAACATTTTTCCAAAGTTCAACGTCACACCAACTTTATTGCATAATATCCGTSATAATTTTTTTTTCCAAGCAAAATAAAAAGTCTCTAGTGCCAAATAATAAAGGACTTGTTTTTTTTTCTTCTTTTCGGAGCTTCCAAAGCTTTATATACTATATTACAAAARTAAAAATAAAAGCTAATTGCAATCTTTCTTTACCATTGCACCTAAGTATCAAATGATCTTTGCCAACATTTAATTGAGATTTCTGATAATCAAATAAACCATTATACGAACATGAAATTCACATGCACTAATAAATTTATTGAATTGTAATATACATTGTATATTATTGTTTTAAATAAAATTATAATATTGTTTAGACAAACCAAGTAATCAATTTGAAAATCAATCAAGTTAATTGCAACTAAATGAAACATCTAAATATGATTCAATTGGTTAAAGCATATTATCTCCAGTAGATCCAAATCTCGATCTCTACATTTTTCTTTTGTTTGAAAAGTAAAGTGCATTAAATTAACTTAGAAGAAATGAGATTACAGATCCGGGATGGGGTACATATCCTTCAAATTCCTGAGGATTCTAAAACGGTAGCCCTTCGAGCCAAAGCGTGAGCTGCAGCATTCTTCACGCGTCCGACGTGATCCAAGGCAATCGCTATCCGACGAGTTATCATCCTCTTTACATCTTCAATAAGTTAAGAAATTTCTGTCACATCAGAGTTTCCATCTCTACATGTTGCTGTACTATAAAAAAAAATTAAAATCAATGTATATATTAATTATACAAACAGTAGAATGCCTGTACAAACCCTGTTAAAAGGAAAAAAATAACTATAAACATTAAAAAAAAAAGAATCCCCATATGAAACTCTAATTTTATAAAAAAGAAAACTCTGATTTCCAATTCGAGAAGTTTACATACGTCATTTATGTATAAGAAAAGAGGTAATCAATATAATTTTTTTCTGGTCAAAACGAGCATAACTGAATGGTAATTGACATATATCTTCAATTAAGAGATTGTGAGTTCGATCTCATTTGTACTAAAATATATATATATATATTTTATGGGTAAATTACAATGGTCGACCTAGTATGAATTAAATATTTAATATAAGAAAAAAAAATTTCTCTCTCTTTTATACATGTGATGGTTATGAAAATGGCCGTCACAGTTGAGCGATCACAAATTTTTTTCAAAGAATTGGACCTATGAAAATGAAACCTTGCTTCAAACGTAGTGGAGGATTCCTATTCCCTATTCAAAAGGGTATCAAGATTGGGAAAAAAAAAAAAAAAAGAAATTATATCTCTTTTATTTTTTATTTTTCTCTACATTATATCCCACATTTTTAATGAATGAGGACAAGACTTATATTTTAATTAGTTAAAATATTAACAACTACTTTTATAAATTGAAAGTTCAGATTCATATTTCTACATATGCACTGTTTAAAAAAAATGATTTTATATCATCAACACTTTCTAAATTCTACAATAATTTAGTATTTCTTTTTTAATAAAAATCACTTAGCATTGCTTTTTAAATAGGTATTGATTATTAAACTTTAATCTCTTGCCAATCTCCCTTCACACATGATTTCTCTTGCTGACTTATTGAGATGTACACAATTCTCTTACTAACAACTAAGGTTTTAGTTGATAGTCATTTTATTTTTAAAAATTAAGTTTATAAAGATTGCTTTTATATATATGTTTTTCTGTTATATTATATAGTTGTTACAAATATTTTCAAAATATAAGTGAAAAAAGAAATTTCAAATACTTATTTTTGCTTTTGAAAATTAACTAAGAATTTAAATATATTTTGAAGAGACGTGAAAAACTAACTAATGAAATTTTACACACAAAAAATAAATAAAATAAAAACATAAAACTAAAAAGACTCGAAATATTTTCTTATAGAATTTTATTTACTGATGAACAATTTACTGGGCTATTTTTTTATTCACATTTTTCAATTAGATAATTTATCTCTCTACCTACCAACCTTTTCTCACAAACTTCTATTTCCACATTTTGTAGTGCAGCCAAAATATGAAAACTTATATTATCTGATTATCAAAGTTATCATTTGCATATAAATATTTCTATATTTGCCATGCCATTTTGGACAAATATGATATCAAACAAGCTAAGTTATTTATTTTTTTTACTGTTGTTTTTCCTATAAATTGCTTACCATTTTAAAGTTTAAAATTTTCAAATATTTTGGTAAAACTATTATTGAAATTGAAACGTTGAGAAATATGTGAGAATAACGTACTGGTCAAATTTAAAACAAATAAATATTAGCGACTATTTTGAAAATTACTCAAAATAAAAGGATGAATATGATTAATTTCCCGATGTTGCTGAAAGGTCCACAGCTCCTGAAAAATTACAGAAGGCCCAATCCACAAATACAATCACATCCATTGGCCCAAAAAACTCCTAATTCAAACCCAACACACTCGAGTTTTCAAACTTAGAATTGTTCGAAAATTGCCACCATATTAAAACATTAGTAATTTGTTCGAGCTCAAAAAATAAAGTTTATTTGAAAACTATTTTTCCAAAATAAAATATATATATATATATATATATATATATATATATATATATATTTTGGTGTTTAGAATTGTTATTCGTCAAGTTTTTTTTAGAACTATGAGATTGAAGATTAAATTTTCAACCTCAATCAAAAAATTAACGAAATTTGAAACGTACTTTATTACTTATTGTTAGTGCTTCCTTTTTCTAATCATTATTAAGTTTTTGACGTGTAGAAACAATAAAATTAAAAAAAAAAGAGAGGGATTTTTTTATTATTCAAAAAATTAAAAAGCTGTTAGATTTTTATTGACAGTGAGTGACCCGTAAACACCTCCACGTTATTTTTAAATTTATGTTACTCCTAAAATTGAATACAAAATTAACATTTTATAAAACATATGGAATAAATCACAAGAAGTGTACATAAAAAAATTTGAAATAATATACATCTAAATATGTTTTATTTGATCTTCTTCTGTAGGCATAAAAGGGAAACAAGAAAAAAGAGAGAAAAGCAAACAACTCGTAAGATCAAGCCCATTGTGCCCTACTCGAACCATATTTCACTTCGCTGAATCTTCAATTAAAAAATTTTACGCTGTCGATGTGGACATTCCCGGCCACCGTCCGCCGTCCCCTTCTCCATCGGGATCAGCAAGACTCCAAAAAGTCAAAGCCTCCAACGTTGACTCGACTGCCGTCCTCGCTCCGTAATTTCGACACGTGATTGAAATCCATCCATGGAAACCGTCAACTCGAAGTTCGCCCACTTCACAGGAAAAGTTCGCGAAGTAACCAATTTTAAATTCCTTTTTCGCTAAATTCCAATTCCAAGTCTCTTATTTTTCCCAAATTTTTACTTTTATTTAAACGCCATCTCTCTGCTCGATATCTACCTCTCGCCGTGTTCTTTTTCCTCTCACCCAATTTTCTAAAATTTGTTCTCCGATCTAAACGAACCGTTTTCTGCTCAGAATTTAATGGATCCGATGGGGTTGGCTCAGCTGGCGACGGGGCTGAGCGTGGTGGCCGGCGCGGTGGTGGTGAAGTCCGTGATGGACCAGAAGCCGATGGCCGGGCCGTTGCCCACGTGCCCGACTTGCAACGGATCGGGTCGGGTCACGTGCATATGTGTTCGGTGGTCAGATGGAGATTTCGGGTGCCGTTCATGTGCCGGGTCGGGTCGGATGTCGTGCAGAAGCTGCGGCGGCGGTGGAAGAGGGCGGCCGATTACAGTGCAGTTATCAGCCGGTCAACCCAACCGCCGGTTTTGAGGAGTTTCTCCAATGTAGAAACTAAATTAAATTATAGTATGCTAAAGTTTATGAATTAAATTAAATTAAATTAAATTAGTTAAAAAAAGTGTAGGAATTAATTTGTTACCGATTTAAAATGGGAAACTAAATGTTAATTTAGCACAATTGTAAAGACTAAATTTGAACAATGTTTTAGTTCAATTGTACGGATATAACTTAATTAATTGTTTTTTTCTTTTAGTATAACAAGTGGGGTGGAAGGTTAAAAATTATCGCTGAGCTATGCATTAATTGTTATATTTTAGTAAAAATATTTCATGAATTTCAAAAAATGTCATTAATTTTTTAAAATTTCAAATATAACAAAATATTTGAATTTTATTTTCGGAAATTTTATTATTCCAATTTTATCCTGATGATATACGATACCTAATGTATATCTATATTTGATATACATTGAATGTATGTATGTATATATGTATGTATGTATGTATGTATGTATATATATATATATATATATAAAAGATACATCCAATTTATATATGATATACATACATGAAATATATTTTTGATAAACATCTAATGTAACTCTGATATACTTTCGATATACATTCGATATACCCCTAATATACAGTATCAGATGTACCATGATATACATTATCAGATATACCACTGATATACATCAAATGTACACACACATATATATATATATGTACTTCTAATTTATGATATACTAAATATAAGGTATATCAAATATTTAATTTTTAGTGGTATATCAGCCGTTTAAATTATAGTTTATCATTCAATTTGTTGATTAATATACTAATATTATCAATAATGTTGATTACTATATCATTACTATTTATTCAATATTAATATTAGATACTAAATATAAGAGATATCAACTATTTAAATTTATAAAGTTATCAAAATTTTAACTTATCTTTTTGGTCGCTGGGGTTCACAAATTTTTTTATATAATAACTTTATATTTCAAAAATAAAATAAAAAATCTTACATCATTGTTTTCATCTGAAAAAAATATTGGATATAATAGTATGATATCAACACACATATATCATAGTTATATTARGAGATATAATGGTTATATCAGATGTATATAAATGTAAATTAGAAGCATATTAAGTATATCAATGGTAAATTAAAGACATATTAAATATATATCACATATATATCAGTGTGGTAAATCAATAGTTATTATAGGTATATCAGTTGCAAGACATGTTAGAAGTTTAGTAGATATCATAGTTATATGAGAAGTAAATCACTTGTATATCATTAGTATATCAGAGATATATATCAATGGTCAGATATATTACATATTATTAAAGAGTGAATTTGTAATTTTACAATTGGACCTCAATTTTTTTTTTTAAAAAAAATGCTATATTTGAGAAAAAACTAAATGTGGTTACTATTTTGTTTATTTTACTGATATAAGAAACTTTTCCTATACTCCAAGACAACTAAGTCAATTACAAATTTTAAACAACATATTAAACTGAATTGATTGAAGTTTAGGAATTGAATGGTTAGAGGATATGGTCCCAAGAGATTCCGTCCTCCCCCGAAAGATTTGAGAGCCGCAAGAATAAGATTCCATTGATGAGGTTGTCAGCTAATTTTAATGAGCCACCACGTCCTTTTTCCAAAGTATTTGTACGTGTTGTCGCATGTTGGCAAAACACCATTTTTGGTACATTTTATAGACATATATTGATTCTTTTTTTCTTTTTGGTAAAACTGAGTTGATATTTCTTATTCAATGTAATGTTAATAAATCAGTTTTTGTAAGAATTGTAAAGATGTTATCTCATATAACGTCTCTTCAAGTGAAACTAAGTCCAAATTATAATGGTCAAATTCGATCGATATTCATCACAATTTCGCGGTACTTTAGAGACTAAATAATTTGTCGAATTGACTCGATTTAATCGTGTCGGTCGATTTTAGCAAACCTTGATTTAATTGTTAAAGTGGGATGATTGGATCATTAGGTGCGGGTTTTTTTTGGGCTTAATCATGATGGGATCTGCCCATCTTTCTTCATCCCTCAGTCCATTCCAAAATTCATCTGAATAATCCAAGTCCGATACTCAAAATTCTTTCTTATTTGTTATAAATTAGAACATGCTTAATTTGAACTCAAACTATATAATTATACAAAATGAACTCCCAATTATGAAGGGGTGTGGATTTAATTTCACAATAGATTTAGACAATGATTATGCAACACAACACCAGGATTAGAGATTTGAAGAAGCTACACACCGACCAAGAAAAACCAAAATTTGTGGGATTTAAGGAAGCAAAACAGTTGTTTTTGTGCCTGCAAATCATAGCATTATAATGCAATCTAATGAATCTTACCATACAAATCTCTACCAAATATCAGGAAATTAAAAAGTTGGGTTTGGTAAGATCGCACTAATAATTAGAAAGCAAATCTTGAAAAGATAAAGAAAAAGTTCAATTACCAATTTAGTCTCTGTGATAGTTCCAATTTGGTCCCTATTATTACAACTCAATTTTACTAATCTCTATAAAATTGTTCTATATGGTTTGAACACAGAAACCACATTTGTAAAATAAAACTTTTAGAACTATAGAGACTAAATTGAACTTCAAAGACTAAATCGAAAATGTGGCTCAATCATAAGTAGAGAGCAAAAAGGAAAAGAAAATGAAAAGAAGAGTGTAATTTGAGCATGAGATGTGTGGTTTAATTTGATGCAGGCATGTGCGGCATTGTTGCTGCGCAAGGCAATCATGCATGGTTTGAAGAGTAGAGCTTCACTTTCATTGAGGACTTTTCACAAACACCTTGAAAGCAGTCTCACCTTTGAGATTTTTCCGTGCGGCACATAATTGGGAGCGACCCAGTTGGAATCCATTGTCGACAGAATCAAATTAATCAGTTGTTTGCGAAGGAAGCAACCCAAAGGAAGGAAGAAAAAAACAGAGAGTACGTTTGGCTGGATCCAGGGGAAGCCATGGATATGATTGTGTGCAGTGAAATCTTGGTGGTTACTATAATTTTATCACCACAAAATACCGAATTTGAGAGTAACAAAATTATTTGGAAGCGCAAAGGGATCTGGTGCGGTTGGGCCCCCATCCCCATGGGCCATGGAACTGTGTGTATATTTTTTTGGTTCAGATTTGGCAGCGGCTTTCATTATTGATGCCTCACATGCCCGGTTTCCGCTGCCCACCGCGCTTTCCATTCATGTGGTTAATTTTTCTTTGTAAATTAAAAAGCCTAAAAGTTTAATACATTTTCTGATGTTTATAAAACAGAATTTAAATATCTACCTTTTAAATTAAGAAATATATGGAGATTTTTTTAAAATTGAATGATTAAACTTGTAACATAACTATAATTATTTAATGTTGAACTTCACACATCTTTCTTATATAAATATGAATATGACGTGGCTGACAATGAATGAGAGTAATACTCACTAAAATAGAATGGTTAATTGTAAGAGTTTTCTAATACTAGTAGTATGAACAATTTTTAAGACTACTTCGATTCATAATTTGCTGTCAAAAAATTAATAACTTCACATTTTTTTCTAAATTTTAACAATATATTGGGGTAAGGTTTCGGTAAATAAATACATGTCTTAACCAATTTAACTATACTCAATTTCACATAATAAATCTAAATCACCTACTAGTGTATAAGTTGTAAATGA